GAATATTCCACAGATGAATAGTCCACTGTTTTTTTTTTTTTTTTTTTTTTTCTAATCTGACCTACAGTCTTAGAGCAAGATATGTACAAGTTACAGTGTAGACATAGTATGACACATAGTATGATGAGTTGCCTTCAACCACACAGATAACAAGCATGAAAGTAAAAGGTAAGAAATGGGTGTTAAGTGAAAGAATTGGAATACTTGGGGATATATTTCCATTTTTTATTTTGGCAATTAAAGGCTTAGTTATTGTCTGCATAAAATATTTGCTCCATTTAGTTCAGCAAATCCCATTAATTCTACAGAACTTCTCCATCTCTAAATTTAAGAAAACTATATAGTAAGCACAGGGTATACTGACCATCTAGAATCCTCAATACTTTATTTCAAGACTTGCATTAGTCTTTCTTTAACTGTTTCATCTAGGCAGTACTTTTCACTAATACAATTTTATATTCACTTTCCTAATACACAATTACATTATTCATATAATATCAACCTCCCTCATCAAAATAAAGGACAGGGTTATTGTCTACTTCTATTCACCATTATATCTGGTTATTGTCTACTTCTATTCACCATTATATCTCTAGAAATTATTATAATACCTGTTAAATAATTAGTTCAGTAAATATTTAAACAAAGAGCAAATTCTTGAATGAATCAATACACTAATGAATGAAGAATGTGTACAATTATGATATTCTCCTACTCCGAGCTACACAGAATCAAGTTATATTATCCCCTTTGAAATCAACACAATATAATAATTGTTACAGAAGCAAAGTGATAATAACTTAGGATCCCACTATTAGGATAATTTACAACTGAGAAAGAACAGGAAGTAAAGATAGGTAGCAAGGAGGATAGGAGAGAAGTAAGGAGAAGGGAGAAGAGGAAGGGAATTGTGACATGATGGGAAGAGAAAGAAAGTGAGAATAAATACATAAATGGAATTTGCCTAACAGGAAGGGATATATGAATAAGGTAGAATGTCAAGCATCAACTTCAAAGCTAGTTGTCTGAGGGATAGGATTAGAAACTCATTTTAATATGCTTAGTTAATGACCTATTATAACATAGGGAACAGGTGTTAGTGTAACACTGCATTTCATTCTCTGTAACAATGAGTTGCTGCCTCACTAAAAACAAACTCCTCCCCTCCTTCTTTTTCTTCAAGGACAGGCTAATATCCTTATTTTAAAAAAGGGATCTTTACCATTAATCTAGTCTGTCTACTATCAGTAGCATTATTGATCTAAGTCAGCTATCAATTACTATGTTAGCACAAAATCAGTGTCACTTAATTACTATAAATCTTAAGTAATAACTTTACCTTTTTGAATCTGTTTCCCCAGTTGAAAAGACAGAAATAATATCTACCCTTTAGACTTTAAGCTAAAAATGCTCAGAGGACATAAAGATGTTAACTATATAACAATAAAGGGATAAATTGACCTAGAATGTCAATAAGTATGTGTGCATTCAACATTGGAATGTATATTCCAGAACTAAAAGGAAAAATAAATAGTAATAAATATAATAATAGTTGGACCTTCAAAAATGGGTAGATCATCTAGAAAAAAAAATCACTTAAGGAAGCAGCAGATCTGAACACCAGTCTAAAGGGTCCTATACAGAACATTTCATCCAACAGTAACAGAACATGCATTATTCTTGGACACATATGGAACACTTTCTAGGATTAGTTACATATTAAACCATAAAACAAATCCCTTCAAATTCAAGAAAAAAATTAAATCAAGTGTATTTTATGACCACAGTGGTATAAAACTGGAAATCAACAACTGTGGGGTAGATGGAAAATTCACATATGAAAATAAAAAAATAAAATTCTGAGTAACAAATAGATTAAAGAGAACAAAAGAAAAATTAACATATTGAGACAAGTGAAATGGAAACAATGTGTCAAAACTTATGGGATGTATCAACAGCAGTTAATAGGAAATTAATAGTGGTAAACAAAGATATCAAGAAAAAATCATGTAAAGAAAAGAACCAAGCATTATAACAAAAGGAACTAGGAAAAGAAACACAATCTAAGTCCAAAGTTTATAGAAATAAGGAATATAGCAAAGATCAGCGCAGAAATAAATCAGAGAAAATAAAATAGGAAAGAATTTCTTTTTTTTTTTTTTTGAAAAGATAAAGTTGACGTACCTCAAGTGAGACTAATCAAAAAGAAAAACAAAACAATAAATTGGGTATAGAACGAAGGTACTTCAACATAATTAAGGCCATATGTGGCAAGTCCACAATTAGCATCATACTCAACGCTGAAAAATTGAAAGATTTCCCTCTCAGAATGAAATAAAACAACATAACCTAAACTCACCCTCCTACACAATTCAGTACTGAAATCCTAGCCAGTACAGTCAGAAAAGAGACAGAAATAAAAAACACCTAAATCAGGGGAAAAAGCAAAATTCCCTTTGCTTGTAGATGACGTCATTTTCTATAGAGAAAACCCTAAAGACTGCCAAGAAAATATTATAAATCATAAATGAATTCAATAAAGTTACAAGATACAAAATTCAGTTGTATTTATATACTCTGCCAACGAACTTTCTGGAATGAAATAGAGAAAACAATACCATTCATAATTACACTAAAAATAATAATAAATTCTTAGATATAAATTTAACCAAATAGGTAAAAGATCTGTACACTGAAAACTGTAAGACTCTGATGAAAATATCTGAAGAAAACACAAATAACTGGAAAGATGTCCAATTTCCTAGAACAGAAGAATTGATATTATTTAATTTTTGATATTTTCCAATTGCATATAGATTCAATGTAATCCTTATCAAAATTGAAAAGGCATTTGTTTACAGAAGTATAAAAATTTGCACAGAATCAGGAGACTAATAGACAGCATATTTAAACAAGAATAACAAAGCTGGGGGGATCATATTTTCTGATTTCACACTATATTACACATCTATAATAATCAAAAGAATATGGGACTGGCATAAAATCAAACATATGTACTGATGAACAAATTGCTCAGTGATCAGAAATTCTCACAAATAGTGGATGAGGGAGTCAAGACTATTCAATGGAGGAGAGATAGTCTCTTAAATGGTGCTAGGAAAACATGAGTATTCACGTGACAATAAATATAACTTGGTCCCTATGCTACATGCTCACAAAAATTAACTTGTAATGGATTAAAGACTAAAGACTGCAAATCATAAAATTCCTAGCAAAACCAAAGTAAAAAAGCTTTAAAAAGCTAGTATTTTTTGGATATATAAACACCAACAACAGAAGCAAAAATAAACTCATGAGACTCTCATCTAAAAGTTATGTTAAGAAAAATGTAGGTAATTGATGTGTTAACTAACCTTACTGTGGTGATTATTTAACAATACATACGTACATCAAAACATCACAGAGTCCTTATATATGCCAGTTATATTTTAATAAAGCTCAACTCAGCCCTCCCCCAAACAATTCTACCTGATCTAAAAGGGTAACTGTGAACTGAAATATGATATGTAAAATCTCCTTTATAAAAGTTCCTTTATAAAACTCCTTGAGTCTAAGGAATTATTATGTTAATAATTAAGTATTCATGTCAGAATGATAATATAATCACATGAAATACAGTGCTGCTAATGTCCTTCGTCTTCAACTCTTTAAAATATATAGGCATTATTTGCCTACCAGAGAGGACTGTGGGAAGTTTGAAAGAAATATGATTATGATTGTTTAAACTTCCAATCAAATTCTACCACCAAACAAATCTATCTCCAGCACAAAACTCATGGGTATCCTATAATAACATACTTTCCCCAAAATATTCTTACATCAAAAATTTGAAACAACCAAAGAATCTGAATTTGAAAGAACATCATTCCACATTTTGAACTTTATCAGAAGTTAGGAAAACACAAAGTTATCCCAAAGATAGTTACAAAAATAATAATAAAAATCGTACCCACCAGTTTCACTATGGCAAGAAATTAAATGTGAATATAATGATGATGATTTGAAAATTAAAGTATTAAAGTAATTTCTTCTATTGCACATGCAATTAAGTAGTCCAGAAAGCATTTTTTAATGGAAAAATACCAAAAATGTGTCAAAAATGCCTTATTTCTTCTCTAGAGCTGTTTGCCTCAGTTATAGCTGTTTGTGAAGATTTAGAGTATTCACACAGCAGTTGTTACTCATTGTCAAAAGGCAAATATAAAATTATCATCTGATTGTTTGGTGGAAGTATGAAAACATGGCAAGAACTTGATCGATAAAATAAAAAAAAAAATACATCTCTTCCACCTCAAACAAACTCCCTGTGTGACCTGGTTATAAAATCAATGTTTTCACCCACTCCACAGAGCAGGGGAGAGAACTGTCACGAAGGATGCTGAAACTATGGCCTAGAAAGTTAACAATAGTGCAAAACAGGTCAGCTCAGGAAAGAGAACACACACACACATACACCAGTCTTGTTTCTCATATTGCCTCTGGCAAGACTATGAAAAAAAAATTTAGATCCTGAAAATAGTCCCTTGAGGGGGAGGGGAAACAGTCCACCAATCTACTATGAATATATAATGAACCCAGAAGGCTACATTCATTTTTAAATTGGAAGAGGTAATGTGTAGGAGAGGCATCTTAGCAGGGCATCTTAGGTCAACCTGCTGGCACCACCATCATTCTCCCAAGCGTGCTGTAGCTTTTTGCCCCAACCCCATAGTCCAAATGCCTAGAACAGCCCTTGCTCCTCCAAGCCCTTTGATTCTTCCTTGTATTGCTGGATTACTTCTTGTCCATGTAACCCAGGGACTAAAGGAAGAAACTAAGAGGGTCACAATAGCATCAAGAGAATACGTACCCCCCATACCACGCTCTGTGCAGAAACTTTAGATCTGTGGTTGGGACATGAACCAGGGTAAGAGGTCTCAGCCTCAAGGGAACCTCCAAGCTGACTCAGTCAGTTTAGCTGGATCCCCAGAAAGACTTACAGCTTTCGATTTCCAAGGTGCAGTTCTGTTCATCCAGTGGGTACCGCCTTAGGTCCATCATGCAAGCAGCTGTGGTTGTGATTCTAGGAGAGAAATAACAATATGTACTGTTAACTGGAATGTAGCTGATATTAGAAAAATTAAACCCAAGTATCAAAAAGGACAATTATTAAAGAGGTCCTCAGAAGCCCGATAACAACAACAACAAAAAAATCACAATCTTGGATAACTGTTTTTCTTTATGAGCTTTACATTGATCTGCAAAGTGAAGAGATTAAATCAATATTGTCTTGAAACACGGACTGTTACCTGCTTGTACAAAAATTATGTTGCCTTATTAAACAGATATTTCCATGTTCTGCAATAGTTTGGTGGGCGGGGCAATGCCAGCCTTCTAGTTTATGTGCCTCCTAGGGGACTGAGAATACTGACACAGATCCTCCTCTTCTGTTCATGCATATCTTCTCTTCCCTCTTTCAGAACTCTCCAGATGAATCTCCCATCAGTCTTCACTGACCTACCACTTTATCCCAGCTCTACAAAGTCTGGTGCTGTGCAGATGCTTTAACACAACACAAAAGCACCTTTCATCTACCACCTGATTTGCTCTGTCTTCAGTGATTTCATATTCCCATGATTTCCTACAGCTTCCCTTATGAGATGGCAGAATTTTCTTTAGAACACTTATCATCTGTCCTATTTTACCAGAAATAAGTGAATGTCTATTTCCCTTTTATTTTATAAGTTTTTATACTACACTAATCTAAACTAATCTATTAGAAAGTATAAAACAAGCAAAAAAACACATACCATTTTAAGTGATTTAGCAATAATGTTGATGAATAATGTTGTTCATTAGGGCATGAAAAACTGCAAGGTAGGTATTGTAACTGCCTCACTGACATTTTTATCAAGATTTCTGTAAGAATTGATAATTTCAAGAGAGTATATTACAAAATATATATATAAGCAATATCTTATAAGAAATATACCAAAGAACATAAAAGAGTATCTTCAAAAATTTAGAGAGCAGAAATGACATTGAGCTTGAGCAACCTAACCTATTCTATTCTGAAGGTCACTGTAACTTTGTTGGGGACGGAAAATATGACATCAGTCTCAGCTTGGGAGACACAGTCCACATTTAGACCTTTCCATTGGAAAGGCCGTGGGCAAAGCTTAGACAAGGATCCCGAGTGGAGGGATTCCTTAGTGAGGTGGGAGGGCCCCACTGCTCAGCTGCAGGGTGGAAGAGAAGTGATGAACTTCATGGAAGTAGTTTTTGGTGCCTATTTTGGGTACCAAAATAAGGTTTGGGCTCTTTAATCTTTGCTTTCTTTTTAATAAAAATTGAGTATCTTAGGGCCCACCCTCATCTTTGGTTTCTTGTTTTCCTTTACCAAGTCCTGTTGGCCACTCCGACTCAACTGCTTGGATGCCTGTTATGCTCTCTCTAAGTTACAACCTTTGCTGTTTAGTCTCCCACAACTGCCAGAAATCTCTGAAAAATGTAGATTAGATTGTATCACTACTCTGGTTAAAAAATGTGTAGTGACTCTTCCAATAAAATCCTACACCTTGGCTTTAGCGAACTCTGGCCTGAATAATCCAACCCTCTCCATCTCCTACAGCAGTCCACTGTTTTCCGGACTTTAAATGTGTTCTGTCTGCCTAGAATGTATGCCAACCTGATATTCAGAGTTCTCTTTCCTGATCCCTTGACTCAGAAATACCTCCTTTGAGCGGCCTTTACTAAGTAGGTGACCCCATCCTGGCTGTCCTGCCTAGCACTCACTCTTTATCTGTGAATTTCTTTCAAGCAATTAGCACCATTTCTTAACTTGCTTATTTTTCTTTTAAAAACTATGCATTTCTTCCAATAAACTTAAGCTATTTAAGAGTATAGGCTTTGTTCTATTTACTTTAAGGCAACAATGAATTATAGAAGTAAGCAGTTGATTTAGCTGATAGAAAAAATCTTTTACTTAGATTATTTTCTGCCTTTTTTGCCTACCCTTGTTTACTTAAAATTGTAATTTGTCTTAGATTTGTAGTAATTCTTTTTACATTTTTAACAGTAAATAAATTTTAATCCACTAAATTAACATTATATAAATATGATCAGCAATTACCTCATTACTTTATATTTGATAATTTTTTATTTGTTCCATTGATTTTAAACATTATATATTTCATTTTTATACATTCTATACTTTATATACTTAGTTTCATACATTCTACAAACTATTTTAAAAGTTCTATAAAAATGAACATTCACATTTGATTCAATACTCAGGATTAAAAAGTGACAATTCAGGCTCTCCCTGTTGACACCAACAGGTTAAAGCATCGCATTATGAAGCTCTCCAAAGCCACTGAAGCATGAGTTTGATCCCCGGTCAGGGAGCTGACCCACGAGGTATGGCAGAACTCTCCTGACACGTCCGCTGCTCCCCTCAGCAGTGTACTTCATTGATCTGCCTGTTCTGCTCCCCTCTCTATCTCTGGTGAATCCTCTCACCCACCACACTCTGGTCTGTACCCTAGTCCTGTGAGCATAAATAAATAGATCTTTTTTTAAAAAAAAGTGACAATTCATGTTAGCTTGTGCTACTTGGCTAGATATTCATTGGTCCACAATACTTTTTAACATGTAGCTAAAAATAAACTGCTAGTAATGTGCAGAAATCTGTATTATGTAGAAGAGAAATCTGAAAATGATGGGCATACCTAACTCCTATGCTATTAATGTAAAATAGAAAAAAAAAATATCCTAGTCTTGAGAAGTAAGAGAACGCTAATTTCATTTGAAAGAATGAAGACAAAGGACATACAAGATACAAGGTACACACTGGATAGAAACTGAGAGAGCCATAAACAGATGCCCAACTGTATCATTGAGGTGAAGTCTGTAATTGCTACTATAGGTTGTGGTTCGCACATTCTGCTGATCCATATTCATGGAAGCCAACATCTGTGAGCAAGTGCTGTGAACACTAATGCTGTGAGCCACGAAAGAACTGACTAATGCTATTGCAGAGGCAATGAGCTTCTATTCATGCTTTAAAAATAAATTAGAAGTGTTTTTAGCTAGCATTCATACTTCCACCAGTGCTTTACTTCTTTTTGATGCTATAATACACTTCATAAAACTAAGTGTATATATAGATGTTTTGCTAGTCCATATTTACCAGGCATTTGTATCTCCCACTGAATTAAAGCTGAAATTCTGTAGCCAAAACATTCCATTTGAAATCCTGATTATATAGATCAGGATGAATGACCTGGAACAAGTAATATTCTCCAACACTTGGTTTCCCCTGAACATTTGAATTCAAAACCTGCCATCCTAATTTTTTTTTGAGATGACAAAAGTAGAATGATATCTGTAACTCATAAAATGAAGTGTGACTTTTGTTCAAGTTATTACTATCTGCTAGTAGGTAAGATATAGTGATAGCTTCAGAGACCAATGTTTATTTGCTAGTACCACATGTATGCATTTGTATACATGAAGAATTGTAAAATGCTTTCACACTGATTCCAAACATACGCACTTATATCTGTTGATATTCATAAATAAATAAAGTTACATATGCTAAATACATACTTAACACTAAAAGGTAGAAGCAAATAGTTTCCTAACACAAAAAAAGTTACTCTGTATGAGTACATGAAACTCTACTTGACAGATCAAAGTACAGACAAATGTAACAGACATGAATCTTTTTCATTGTGCTTTCTGAGGTCTAGAACCACTTATATTTTTGTCTTATTTGTATTTCAAGCACTTTTGCCAAGCCTGGTACATGCCATTAACCCAAAATTAAAAATCATCATTAAAGAAAGGAACATCATGATAATTAACACTACCAAACTGAGATTTTAGAGCAATTCCCACATTAAATACTTGATTAATTTATGTAAAATTTTTTAAGATATATTTGAAAGCTGAAATCACCTGTACAGAAGACTCTTAATCAGAAATGTTCAGTGATAAGCATCAAAATCTGTTCTTTGGGACACTGATGTGTACCAGGGCTAAGTATCTCCAGGAATAAGTCAGTGCAACAAACATACTTACTGAGCTCTTTGTTTACAGGATTCCTAATAAACATCTCCACTAGACCTTACACAACTCAACCCTACTACAAAGTGTCTTTAAAATGAGGCTAATAACTCATCATCGAGGCATACTGGTGAAGTTTCAGGACAACTGTGAAACAGGAAGATAGTTTTGTCTTCAAACCAAGCACACAGTCAATGAAGCCACCGAATGTACTTCACTCACCTAAGGATAACTTTCTCCAGTTAAAGGAGAAAATGTGCCTCTTTTCTTCTCAGTCACTAGATACTATCAATTGAAAATGACTTGTGACATAAAATACTGACATGATGCAAGCAAACTAAAAATCTGACATGACCTAAGGTTGTCACTAAAGGCATCTATCAAGTAAAAAAAAATACAACAGCAATGACAGCATTTTGTACCAAATTCATAATGGATGTTTTATTGTCATTAGCTGAGAGGCTGTGACACCACCATATCATTCCAAGTGTAGTGTTTGATTCGGCAGCACATATACTAAAAAGTTGAATCAAGTTTAAAGATGACACAGATAGTAAGTTCTGTACCCCTCAGCCAATAGGAAATAACATAGAATCATGATCAATATCACATATTTTGGGTCTTTCAGAAATTTTTTCTGAGCTAGAATGTATGGGAAATAAGTGTCTTACACCATATGAGAAACTAGAATTTCAACCAGAGATTATTATAACAAAGAGACTTGGACTTCTAGTTTGATTTCTTTATCTAGACAATCATCCAATTTTTCCACACAAAAGTTGTTTTTCAACATCTCTGTATGTTTTTGAAGAAAAGCAGATGTCTATACCCAACCCTATTCAAGACATTTTTCTAATTCACAGCATGTCTTTATTTTGTTCTGTTTTTATTTTGTTCAAAATGCACATTTACTCAAAAGCATGACTTCTAATTACAAACTATAGTATTAGTAGGCATTATTACTGAAGAAAAATGAAGATGGGAAAAATTTAATTCTCAGAAAATATGTATATT